AAACAAGTTTTAATCAAGAAAGGACTTGTATCGCTGAAGTTCTTCGGAAAGAATTTCTACCGGAAATTAACAAAGGAACAGATACGCAATAATATGTTACTTGTAAACATATTTACATTAGATATCGTTGCCTTTCGTCATATAAAACTCACCAATCAATCACAGTGTGCCTTATTGTAAAAACAAATTAACTACAGATGTGTTTTCTGTCGCATTCTTCCTAATCTGTTCATTGTGGCTCGAAATTAGAGGTTTGTATAAAAATTAACATTTCCGACCTATCTTTTGTCTATCACAAGTCACCTAATAAGCTTTTTAGTTCAATATCAGAAGTCTTCAGTTGAGGTAGACGATGACAGACAAAACATTATATGAAACGCTATTTATGTATGTATAATACTCTAAAAGTTACGGTTTAAATGCGAAAGCCGGCGAAATATTAGCAAATCGATAGGCCTAAAAACTGTTATAAAAACATGTTAACCGTCTGTTGGTTCTCTTATTTTTTGCCGACTTTCGACGTTTAAATTGTAGCATTATGTTATTTATCGTACATTTAATTAAGCAAATGATGTACCACAACACTATAAATATAGCTAAAAAAGAAATGTGATACAAAACAGATACGTCTACAACATAAATATGAATACGATACAGATATAGTTGCGATAGGAACATTATTACAGCCAGAATGTATGTTTTTTGTACTTTTGGTTCGCGTATTCTACAAATGAGGTCTTAGTGTTTGCTATTACTGAGCTCTTTCTGCCACTCTGTCAATCATAATTAAAAAATATCCCCCTCAAGGTTAGGTGTTAATGTTTTACATTTTTTTATATGTCCTGAATAATTTTAGATCTAAATATTATTTGGACTTTACAAATATAGACATTTCAAATAAGTGTTTGTTTTTTATGTACGTACACTCCAATGTATGCATTTCTATTATTTCAGGATGAATCTGTACGACCTTATCAAGCAGAACAATTATCAGGGCCTGAGTTTAGGACTTATTAGAAAGTTTAGCTACTCTCTTATCCAATGTCTGCGACTGTTGTACCGAGAGAATATAATCCATTGTGACTTGAAACCTGTATGTGCATCCATTTGTATTGTAAAATATGATCAACATTGATAGGATGCAAATTGTTCACGTGATTAGTTATAAACTGATTTTATACACAACTCTTGTTCAAGTATAATCTGTTTATAGTTACACCTTTACATTTATTTCAACTTATGTAACGTGTTTGTTAGTTGGTTCACTTACAGGGTTATTATTAAATTATATGGACTATTCTAACGTCCATAATTCGAAAACTATTGAACAGAGATGAATTAATGATATGATGGGAAAGACGGCTCCAATACCAATCAAACTGTTTCTTTCATTCTTCTTGAGTACAAAGCTACTCAATGGTCTGTTGAGCCACCAGGGGGCCAGCCAACAGGTTCAATGTCAAATCATTCATGTTTATTATTCTTTTCATTCACGAGAGAACGTGACATACACTTTAATAATATTGTCTGACTTCCAACAGCCGCACTTTACTTGGTATCGCATGATAGCTTTCAAGTCTGTGAAGGTAGTGGACACGCCATAGTATGTCAGAAATCTGAGGTGACCCCATAGCCGAAACTCAACAAGGATAAGATGTGGAAACAGTTCTGGTCACGTGTGTGTGAAACCTTACTGCTGGTTACTCAATCGCTGAAAGCATGTCCCAGCAATGTCTTGACAGTCCTTGCAATACCAGCTGCAGTCTCATATTACATGAAGTGTTGGAATGATAACATGTTCCAAGTTACATCAACAACCGATCCTTTTTATTCACGTTTGTTGATAAGCTGCTCTTAAGCCTCACTGTTGATTATATTCTCCATTCGCTGCTTTTACGTCGGATCGAGTGCAGTCAAGTGGTTGACAACCCTGACTGAGGATCCGAGGCGCTCTGTTTCGCGTACCGCCCCCCCCCGAAAAAACAAACGCTCCACACTTTGAGGCGTTAGAGGAGCGATGGTCAAATTCTACTATTCCAACAGAATAGCTCGCGAGTTGGTAGTTGGTGGTGTTGTCTAGCTACCTTTCTCCTAGTCTATCACTTCACAATTACAGATGGCCAGTGCAGATACCACTCCCCCCCCCCCGAGTAGCTTTGCGTGAAAATCAACCACAAATAAACAAAATGTTCACCTCGATGTTACTTTAATGTTGCGCTAGTCTTGTTACTATTCTAATGTTCAGATATAAACAGCTTGGAATCATATGTTTGGTTCTGTTTTTATACAGGCATTGGTATACGAATTCCGTTATAGCTCCTGCTGGAGGGAGTTATTTTTGACATGACACTGGAATCGCCACCTTTTCCATCATCTCATAACCCAAACTATCTCACTGGTGATTAGTTTCTAGTTATGTACGGTAGAATAGGCTTTAAAATAACCCTGAATATAATAACATGATTATTTCAGGATTATCTTCTATTCGTTATTTAATTTCTCGCTGTCAACTTTTGTTTTGTAGGAAAATATTCTCGTTAAACAAAGAGGAACCAATTCTATTAAAGTTATTGACTTTGGTAGTTCTTGTTTTGCTCACCAGAGAGTCTACACATACATCCAATCAAGATTTTACAGATCGCCAGAGGTAACTCATTTATCTTTGTTTTTAATTAATGTGATAAAAATGGGAATAAATGAAAAACCTTAACACACAAAGTTACTATTTTACTAAACATCTCTAAGAATACCAGCCAAATAATGTTTCAAATGTAAGTGAAAATAAAATATATATAAAATAAAGTAAAATATATATAATAATATAAACTTCCTTTTATCAGTGTCGAATGGGTGGGGAAAATATCTAAAAACAATTGGAACACCTGGTGTTGCTTGTTAAAAAAATCTGCAGGAAATGATAAGTTTTCTAACAGTCTGCTTTAGTGTATTACTTATAGTATGTGTGACATTAATGCATCAACTTTGTAGGTCGTCTTCTTGTCGCAGCATATTTAAAAATTTTGAAGTAATGTATATATATATATTAAGTGTCAGATTTCACTGGATTCTTTTAGTATTGAAATAATAGTTATAGCCATCTTCACATAAGTAAAACTTTTCTTTCGCGAATTACAACAGTTCCAATAATGAATTTTAATTAGAACAAGTCCCTGAATTCCAAATGTTTTCGGACAGAAGTTTGACTTTCTTTTATGTGTTAAAAGCATTAAATTTTTAGTACAACATAAACATGCAAAATCAAGCCTTTCTGATATGACGTTAGTAACATACTGATGATATTTGATACAAGGATTGGACTAGTAATTAACTTGCCAGTCTGCGAATCTGGAAGTCCAAGGTTTGATCCCGTGATTTACCGCTAAATACGTTCCGCATTTTCACTGTGGTCGTGTTTTAAAAGTTATTCCCGATAGTCGGTTAAAAGTAGTCGTGAAGGCGGCGAGTTCTGCTGTCTGTTATCAATCTGGCAGGTAGTTCAAAAGTTGGGACGGCACTACCTAAATTATGGAGTTCCTGACTTGACCACTTAGCCCATGTGTCGTATAAAGTTACGTTCAAGTTGAAAACATGAATGTTGATAGTTGACACGATTTATTCGACCAATAATACTATCTCATTTTTAAAATTCACTTTTAGTTAATTTCATTGATAAGCTCAAACTTTTATAGTGATGTTAAAATATTTAGAGAGCCTTTTAAAGTCAAATAATTTTCTGGCATATATCAATAAGAAACAATGTTTACACTAAGAAAATATTAACAAAGTAAACGTATAGATTATATCAGCGATTAAATAAGTAGAAAAATGCGAAGGTGATAAAATAAAGAAAATAGACTTTTAGAGAAATATCTTCTGTAAAAACTATGGTAGTAATTTATTTACTTGGCGACAAAACGTTCCTATAATTGTCATTAACCAACTAGCTTGTTTCTGGCTTGAAAAAAGAGCGTTTACTCGAAACGTCGCCAAGTAAATAAATTTTTACCATAGTTTTTTAAAGGGGGGTTTTTCTCTAAAAGTCTAATTTCTTAGATTAGATCATTCTTCATAATTTAACACAAGACTACAATATTTACAATGTTAAGTAACAATATTAATTGACCTGATTCCTCAGTTCTGTTTAGAATTTTTTTAACATATTAATTCTGTGTAATGTGTGTGTGTATAATTTTATCGTATTGTATATCAAGTGTTATATGCGTTTAGTTTTACGATATTGTATATCAAGTGTTATATGCGTTTAGTTTTACGGTATTGCATATCACGTGTTAAGTGTACATTTGTGTAAAAGCATATGGTTACGAGTTATGTTTCCAGTGCTCTTAAAACTTTTCTTGAACATTTTAGAAACGAAGCTGATATAGAAAGAAGGAAAATCGCAGAAGTTATACTGATAGGAAAATTAAAATGATCTTTGAACCAATATTACGGACTCCTCTCTAATTGTGGTCCACATAATTTCACATTACATTTTTTTACGTGTCTTGTAAAAAGTATTTACATTTATGTTAAATATTTAAATCCAACATGTGTATTTACGAGAATAACCATAACCGTTACAATTGAAACTTGTAAATGTTGTTAGTCACACGTTGCATGTAGATGGCATGCTCAATGTCGCAGATTTGATTACATAAAAAAAGTAAAAATTATTTACTATTTAAAGCTGATCACGATGTTAAACTTACGCGGGATTTTGCTACGCCAGTTGCTTTTGTTACGACAGTCATAGTAACGTTAACGATGCTTAGTTCCTCAGCCATAAGATGTTGCAAAAAACGTCACGAATGTAGTATCTTCTCAGTCTATCTCGGACATCATGCATCGTGATCACTGAGTAGGTTTGTTTGTTTTGAATTTCGCGCAAATCTACACGAGGACTATCTGCACCAGCCGTCCCTATTTTAGCAGTGTAAGACTAGATGGAAAGCAGCTAGTCAACACCACCCACCGCCAACTCTTGGGCTACTCTTTTACCAACGAATAGTGGGATTGACTGTAACATTATAAAAAAAACACGACTGTAAGGGCGACCATGTTCAGTGTGACGGAGATTCGAACCCACGAACCGCAGATTGTGAGTCGAGTGCCCTAACCACCGTGCTATGTCAAGCCATTTTTGTCAAGTAATCCTTGCAGAAACGTTAAATGTCTTTCTGTACTATGCATACAAAAATAAGATAGTTGTAAAAAATTTTCCCGTTACCTTCAGGATAGCTAACCCTAACATCTGAGCAATAGATAAGAATGGAAAAATGAGCTCGTTATCACACCTCAATCATCAGTGCCTGCTCTGTATCTAGAGCTATCAGTAAAATAACATCTTGAACTTAATACCTTGTGTTTACATATTTTGACGTGTGGTATTTAAGTCGTCTATATTCTTTATTTCCATTGGACTAGTAAGGTTCCTAAAGGACAGAATTTGACATAGGGTCAGAGAGGACAAAGAATGTCCTTGTATGTAAACATAGTCTTTGGTATGAGTTTTCTGTGTATGTATTTAATTCTTATAAAGTATTTTTCTGTTCCTGTTAATGCTGGGCGAGTGTTGACGTGTCGGACTGTGAATTCGTGGTTCGTGCCCCATAACCGCAAAATAAATCTCGCTCCTCACTTTAGAGCCGTGGTTACATTGTAAGAGTGACGTTCAGATTCCAGTATTCGATTAGAAGCCCACAGATTCGTAGTGGATAGTGTTGACTAGTTGTCTTCCCTCTAGTCTACCATTAGGAAGGAAGGGAAACAAAGTTCTAGCTAGCAAGTCTAGTGACAACCCTCAATTACCAATGTATTTAGAATCCCTAGAAGACAATGCGAAACAACAATTTTTGATTAATTTAGGTTCAAAGAATGTTCGTTATTAATTAACTACAGCAAATCGCCTGAGTCAAGGAATACACAAACCCCTTTCTCTCCTATAAATACACAAAGCGAAATTTACAAGTGTCTCCCTCAGCCAGCACCACCTCATCATACCCACAAAATCAGACACACTTTATGTAGAATAGCCTAGTTTTTTACTCTTAGCTCATTTTACTGTAATTTAGAATATCAGAAACATACAGTTGGTAGTAACTGACCTCATACTTAATACGTTTTATAGCGCACAACACTGTTTTTAACACCTGAATACAAATAATAACTGCTACCATTTTTAATTTTTTTACTGATTTTTAGCTTTTTTTTTCTAAATCATATGAAGCAATGAATTCTCTAAGGCAGTGATTTTCAAACTGTGGCTGTACGAGGAGCTAATGTCGGTGGTAAGCGAAAAATTAATGTAAAAGTTATAAAATTTGTAATAAGCCTAATTTGAGCTTTCTGCGTACATACAATACTCTCCTCACTCGTGCTTTGAGTACAAAGCGTATTTAAACTTTACGCCTAACTTGCGATTTTCAGGAGCCTATTGAAATTTGTATCGAGATGTAATGGTATTGTGCCATTTATAAGTCATAGAAAGGTAAGTAATTGACTTAATGCACTTCTTTGCATGTTTGTTTATGTTACTGAAGTAACTGTCTTAAAGTTTTCCACTCGTATAGAACAATGCACGTTAAACATCGTTCACTTTTGCACTTGCATAAACGTAAAATTACCAGTGTACGATTAGCCAATAGGAATATTAGGTTTCCATGTGAGTTAGCAAGCACACACGCACCAGCTGAATGACACACATTGTTCTTTTAATTAAATAGTTTTATTACTCGATGAACAGCTATAGTATATGTGAAATTTCTTTGAAGCCGTCAGCGGTAATTTTCCAGACTTACAAAGCTAAAATTTGGGCTTCGATTTCTGCAGTGGACACATTGCAGAGAGGTCTTTGTATAGACTTGCTCTCAGAAACAATAACATTTGAGATTCGTGGGTTAGTTGTATTACGTGAGAAAAATATTTTAAAAAATCATATCTATTAGGCTGTAGCGTGTAATATTACACGAGTTTACAATGTATTCAATATCATATCAAAGAAGATTTGTTTGTTTGGAATTAAGCACAAATCTACACAATGGGCTATCTGTGCTCTGCCCACCACGGGTATCGAAACTCGGTTTCAAGAGTTGTAAGTCCGCAGACATATCGCTGTGTCACTGGGGGGCTATTAAAGAAGAGAATACTATGAGAAACAGTATTTAAAGAATGTAATCTTAAATCAGAGTACGTTGTGTCTGATCATATCGGTGTTACGAAACTTTGAAACTTGTGTGGTGTGATCTGGTGTATTTTCATTTATTAAATATCGTTACATAAGCTTTTTTTTTATAGTATTTCGGCGTTTGTGAACATTTTCTATGACAAATAAATAACGCACACAACGTTTGGTTTTACATAATTAAGCAATATTGAAGAGGACGGAAAAGCATCGAAACGTGTAATGTGGATTAGTCTCTGTAAAAAGTGTTTTAGTTATGTAAAATCAAACGTTGTATGCGTTATTGATTGATATTATATCGTTGTATAAGTCTGATAACACAATAACTAGGACAATTTCCTTCTCTAAAATTAAATTTCAAATACAATAGTCTTTACTGCTCGGTTTTAGTGATAGATTACTATGGAAAATTCTTTTTTCTTTACTGTTGTTTACACCAGGTTATTCTTGGACTTCCTTATGGAACGGCTATTGACATGTGGAGCCTCGGTTCCATCCTGGCGGAGCTCTATACCGGATTTCCGTTATTCCCAGGTGAAAATGAAGCTGATCAATTGGCTTGTATTATGGAAATACTCGGTTCACCGCCAGCTGAACTGTTAGAAATGGCATCTCGTCGCAGACTGTTCTTTGGTAAAGAAAAAGAAATAAAATCAGAGATGCTTAAGAGGAACTGTAGCTGTTTTTTATTTTATTATTATTATTATATGTAAGACACATTTTTGCTTAGGTTTTGAGTCGTGATATGGCAAGTTTAACTAATTATCAAAAGTTTTATTTGTATATATTATTGAAAATGATTATAATAACTGTGAGGAAAATGGGCATAAATGACAAATACAACGGAAATGCCAGCCTTTTTGTGTGTGTGTGTGTGTGTGTGAAAATGTACTGTAATGTGTTGATAGCCTGAACTATGACTCGTTGTCATCCAACCAATCAGAAAGTGCCACACTAGTATAACGCCTATAAAAGTACTGACAGTCATACTATGCCCAGTAGTGGTAGTCTATATCAGTCATGGTTAACAGGATTGAAATAATGTATTACAAGTCAAAGTTGTGGCTGGTCAAAGACACTTCATGCGAAATAGTGTAACAAGACTTAATGTTTCTGAAGAAGCTTTTTACAAGATTCTGGAGAGAATACTTGTAACTGGCACTGTTAATAATAGAAGTAGTCGAGGTAGAAACTAAATATTTCAGAGTACGTTCTTTACAAGATAGACGACAGTCCAGGACTGATTTTGTCAACTATGTTGCTGGAAATACAGGTGTGACTGTTACCTCGTGAACAGTATTGTTGCGTCAGCGAGTCACATGACTACTATGACGCAACGTTTCTAGAACTATCATGTACTTTGGCG